TTCTTACACTACAAACTCTTCGTACTTTCCACTCTCTTTGACTACTGGCACACTCTTAGTGAGACACTTTCTCCCAAATCTATGTCCACGTTGAATCTCTCTATACTCTCCTTTATTGCCCTCTTGCGTTTCGCTGCATATTCGCACAGATTGCTGAAAGCTTTAGGGATCTCATTTGAGATCGTCTCTATTTCAGACGACTCTCGATCGAAAAGGCGTAATCATCCACAAAAGTTCAGCATCGTTTTCTTGCATCATTCAGTATATGGGGCGATAAATCTACAACGCTGGTTAAAGACAAACAGGTTGGTCCAACATTTCTCTAATAGTTGGGGGTTAGAGAGTTGATTGCAGCTGGGCTTCTGCTTCTATAAATGGCAGCTTGAATTGGAAAAGAGTCCAACTTCAGTGAGCAGCAAACATTTTGCCTTTTTGCTGTCTGAAACATTTGGAACTAGTTAACATAAACGTAATATTGACATCAATTGAATATAGCACATAGAATAATTGATGACAACCTCTGTGGTGTTTTTCCTACACAGAATTCAAAATTGTGAGGATCCTACTATAAAAATTCTTGCATCAGCTAAAGTGCATTTGTCAGAAAACTTGGACAGAATTTTCATTAGCCAAAAGTGCTTTGGTCAGAAGTTTCGGGCAAAATTTTTATTTCCTATGTGATATTCACCGCTTGATTCGCGTCCACTCCTTCACGAAAATTAATCAGACATCTCCTTAATGCTTTCGTAGAGCTCATTGTTACAAAATGTTCAGCAAACGGGACTGCTTTTGTTTTTTTTTTCATTTGAGAGCCGGAAATGCCTGCTTAAGTTATGTTTGTAAGAATCTATTGCGAGATACATCAGTATCAGATAATTACAGTTTTAACAATATAAACAATAGTGCAAATCCTTGTCTTGGTTTAGAGAACTAAAATTTCGAGATTGACATTTAACGTATGTCTGGAAATAGGAAGCTAAACTTCACCAGCGATTTCGGTACGATTCTTGCTCAGCTTTGGTCTATATCATATTAGATAACTGAGATGAAAAGCTCAAAATCTTCCTATTTGAAACTCTGCTAGACTTGTTGGAACAACACTCAGAACAATTTTGAAACTACCAAACTTTTTTACACCTTAAAGTCTAGACTGTTTTTAGTGTAGAGTTCATCTGATATCTGAGGCAGTTCATTCTTCCCATGCTTTCTTAGTTGCTAAGGCTATCTCGCTCTACCTGATGTTTTCTTGAAACGACTATAGCGATGACTATAGGTGTGAAGCAGTCGGTGTAAAATCAATCGGTCAAACGATGACGCGAATATTTGAGCGAGTGGCCGACAGGCGGGCGGCCCAGTCGCCTTGAAACTTGAAGTAAAATGGCATAACTAACAAGAAGATGCATTTCAGGAGAGCGACTAGATGAATCGTCCTCATCTACTTCTTCTGGCGCTATGGGCGCTGGCCATTTCTGCGCAGGTAGTAATGGTTCAGGTCGAGCCTTACTTGAGCGAAGAAAGATCCCTGACTGCTGCTCAGGAACTGGTGCCGACAACGGCCGTGGAAGACCTGCAAGGCGACCTACAAATCCAAGAATGGATGCGAGAGCTGCGGCGAGTTAAGCGAGCTCCGACACGAAGTAAGTCCGCATGTTAGGCTAGAAGGGCTGTGGACGCCTCTGTCCACTGCAAATCCACACGAATGTCCCTCGTTCTTTCTCTGTCTCTTTCACTTCCTCTCCTTTTTCTCTCCGCCACTTTCTTCTTCGCTGTCTCTCCTTGAACACATCATTTTGGTCTTCATTTTGAATTTTTCTGCAGGTGAATTCAGAGAATGTTGCACTGTAAGAAAGTCAATGAGGAGGAAACTGCCAGGTGATTGTGATTACCACTGCGAAAATTTTCGCGCTGTTGCGCAGACGTAGAAGTACAGGCCCTCTCCCTCTAAAAGCGCGACGTATTTCGCCGTCCTCCTCGCCGTTCAGGACGTTGTTCAACTGCTGGATAGCGAGAAGACAGCGGAATTCCTGCGCTTTCAAATGAAGCAGCTGCTGCACGGAATCATGCAACGGTCTTCCAACTTTTGCTGGGGTCATTTTAAAAGAACCCCCTTTTCTAAAAGTTCACGCGCCTTATAAAGCACCACTCAAAAGATTCTCTTCTCAAGCGCTCCTAATTTGAGGATACGTAAACCAGCGCAACAAGTTTTTTTTGACTCGTATAACGTAGGTGCAAGCTTTCGCAGTTGTTGTGGATTTGCCTAGAAAAGTTGCGACTCGTATCGAATTTCCCGCTTGCGCTGTATTTTTGATTTGTACGAAAGGAACGACAAAGCATAAGATGGCAGGCACGAAAAGTGCCGCCACGCTGATTTCCGTGAGTAGTCTCAGATGTGAGGGAGTCGTTCAAAATTCATGAAGAGATGTTTTGAGTTTAAGATGTACAACCGGTCGTAGTGGTATTGCCGGGTTTCGATGCAACGCGTGCCTCGACGTACTATCAAGACGTGCTTTACCCGGGACCTCTGAGACGCCGCAGGGCGAAAAGAGCCAGATACTGCCCGATCCTAGGTAGATACTAGGAACTTATTGCACCGCATGCGATGGTCTCTCTGACCGATCCTCTCAGCGATTGACGGCGCTCACCGCTCACTCGCCACACGCAGACTTCTTTCTCGCACCTCACGCAACTCGTCGCTTTCAATCGCGCGAGAGGGGTCGAGAGACCCTCTGTTCTTTTGCCAGCCAAATAGCATGCTTTTGGGCGAAATTCCAAATGAGAGGTGTCGGAAAGGCATGTACTGCTTCGTTGACGAGAAAAGGCAGAGGACAGAGCTCCGTTCGACCTCATTGACGCTCCTACACCACCAGCTTCTCTCCTTTCAGTCTATCATTGCGGATCACTCACTCTCCTCCTTCTCACTCTTTGCTCGCTCGAGACGGACATCGGACACAGCTTCTGATGTAGTGTAGCGTAGAATAGTAGTAGTGGTGGGGGCATGTCTGCAGGAGGCCCCGGTTCGAGGTGCAAGACAAAAGGGAAGCAGAAGGCGTCAGACGAAGTGGCAAGCGATTCAGATGATGATAGTGCCCGATACGGAAGTCGGGGAGCAGTGGTACTCAGTGCGAATGGGACCGGTCGATGCGTCGTGTCTGCCGATCAAGCCTCGCACTTCTGTGGAATGGAAGAAGAAGGCAAGCCTAATCGTAGTGAGAGTAGAGACGAGTGTCGTGATTTTCCCCTGTTGCGGTCGACTAATCGTAACGTATCGTGAACAGGAGCACAAATCCCAGTGGAATCAGCGCCGTGCGCCAGAGGAGCAACGACTGATGTGCTATTTGCTGTGCTTGTGGTTGTACATACGTTGTGAGGTGTAGTGGCTTACTGATTTTGGTGACGTCGCCTGTTTGAAGGCGGCTCCGCTTAACGCTATGCTTTACCACTTAACCGCACGGATACCTTCTAACAACACAATAACTTGCTGCTCAGCCTACGCGGATCGGTTGGTATCCTCATCACCCCATAGGGGAGCATGCTAATATGTCTGCTCGCTGCTTACCCGTGCACAATTCACATTTCCCATCGAAACTACTGCGTTTCAGTGTCGGCGCCGCCAATCCCACCACCACACGCGGGCAAGTGCGTCACATCAAGGGTAATATCTACCACCATCCAAATAAAATCACCTCTTATCTTGGCTGTTTCAGGAATCTGGACGTAAAATATGCTACCCGCACTACGAAGACCTCGACACGAGTTGCACGGATGTGACCGGTAGGACCACCTCAGGACTGGTTGCCCCGCCAGTAATTCCCCATGCAACGTAAGTGCCACCTTCGAAAAGCTCTTTTGGTCCATCAACTGTGGTTCAGGGTTCGAGCAATGGCTTTCGTGCCACCTGATAATCTGCGACGTCTTGTCATACAGTACTATCGTCAACAGGGAAAACTCATGCCAAAAAATATGACTTTCACCCCGAAGTGAGTTTCCAGCGGTTTAAAGTGGGATTAAATTGGAGTGTAATTTTTCAAGAACTTTTGTTTTGAAATGAGAAAAAATAGATTGAGATGAAACGTGAAATCAGGAAGAAGTCGATGAAATGATTGATGAATAAATGAAATTCGAAGCTGTAGCTCCCGCATACTTCCCAACTCTTCAACATTCGCACATTGTAAAAATATAAAATGCGTAACAACTTTGGAGTCTTTCTCATTGATCGCCAGAACTTGATACTCGAAAGAGTAAACACATGCGATTCGATCGAAAATATTATTCATTTTATGAAGTGTTGGAAAAATTGGAGAGTGTCAGATTGCTA